CTCCCATCCCACACTGCCTTCTCTTCCAGGTCTCCCAGACTCTCAAGGAGGTGACTCCCTCCTACATGGACAGGTGCAGGCTTCCTGTTTGCAGGGGCCGGCATGCGGCTGATCGCCTTGCCACCTGCCCAGGGGCTGACAGCCCACAGCCCCCACAGCCTGCAGGTGTCCAGGACTGTGACTTGCCTGCAGCACAACCAGGATCTGTTTCTGGAGGTGCTGGTTGGGTCATTTCTCTCCCACTTCAGCTCTGTCCAAAGCAGCTCACAATTGGAGTGTGGGTGAGCATTAGACTATGGGAGCTCGCTAAGCATGCCAGGGGCCGGGGCAGAGGTTGGGTGTGGCATTACAGACCCAACACCAGGCTAGCAACTCCACCCTGCCCCACTATCCCTTGGGACCGAGTCCCGGTTTGAATCATAATATTGGGCGGTCCCATTTCTAGGAAAGTGCAGCCAAAGGGGAAAGGTCCCGGCTGCAGGAGGGAGGCTGCGGAGACACTAGGACTCAACATGTGTATCCGGGCAGACAATTGGTCCCTGGACTCCAGGCCCAGGGCATGAGGCAAGCCCACAAAAACAAAAGGACCCCAGGCTGACCCTGGAACCTAGGGGTAAACAAACCCACTCTCCTGGGCGAGGGCTGTGGAAACAGGGAGTTCACCTCTTGGAGAGGATGAAGGGGGTTTCCATTTTCCTGGCATGGAGCCGGGCAACCTGCAGCTCCTGCCATTGGGGACACTGCTCGCTATTTTACAGAGGCTCTTTTACTCCAGGCTCAGGGATGCAGCTCCCCATCTCGCCCTTCTACACTGCTCCTGCCCTTCTCTGTCCCCAAAGCCCTGGGCAGACTATTCAAGCGTCTTGGAGCCTTCTGTTGCTTTTTTCCCTTTTCCCCTAGGAGAAATAAGCGTTCCCTCCCTGTACAGCCCAAGCAGGTGTCTGTGCCCAGGGGCTCTGTGGGAATGTCCCACCCTTGCCTGCATCGTTCCTCTCCCTCCTGCCAAGAGGTAAGTCTTACACCTAGGTGACAGGAGAGGCACCCATCTTCATCCATGCCCTCCTGCTATGCTTAATCTCCCTACGGGAGGCCCCCTGTCAAACACCTCTTTCCCAGGCTGGAGTAATCCCAAAGCATCTCTCATCAGAGTGGGTGTAAATCCCCACAAGCATGTGGTAGGCAAGTAGTAGTAGTGACAGCTTGGTGATGCCTCACAGGTAAACAAGGAATTGGGAATTTCCAGCTCTGTGACTGGCAGCTCCTCCTCCTCCCTGGCATGCATGCCAGGCCAGGCCCCTTGATTTGCCAACACCTCTATCTGCTCTGGCTCAGGTAGGCTCCCTCCCTCCCTCCAAGTCCAGGGCAAGAGTTGCCTGAGACTACTCGGCCTTCCACACCTGCCTGAGGGATCTCAGCAGGGGTTCTGAAACTTTAGGCTCTATCCTAAGGACCTGAGGGCTTCTTAAAATGCAACTAGCTGTAAACCGGTCCCCAGGGCTTCTGACTGTGGACTTCGGAGTCTGCCTTGCTTCCAGGTTCCGTGCTGGGAGGAAACTGCTGTTCCAGAATCAATGAGAAAACCTAGGATTAGGCTGGCAGCTAGGATGCCCATCTCCTAGACTAGAAAGCCTGGGCTTGATTCCCGCTTCCGGCTCTTGACTCCAGCTTCCTGTTAGTGCAGACCCTGGGAAGCAGGTCATGATGCAAGTAATTGGGTTCCTGCCACCCACGAAAGAGACCTGGATGAAGCTCCTGACTCTTGGTTCTTACCAACACTTGGGGAGTGAATCAGCCTTGCAAACAATAAAGACAGTTTATTTTTTAAAGATATGTAACCCTAGGTTCAGGTTCCTGCCCTGCCATTTTCCACTCTCTGGCCTTGTACTAGGCTGGGCTTTGTGAGCCCTGCGTCCCCACCCATCACAAGTGTAATAGCGACCGCTGGGAAGCTGAGAATAGAAGACTGGATCATGCACTTCGAAGACCCTTTCCCCGTGTGTGGCACATGATACACCTAAACCAGTCAATGAATGAATTTTATTAGTCTGTTGCCTGCTGCATCCCTGCCCAGTGCCCTGAGTGACGTCAAACACATCATCTGTGAGGATCTTAACCTCGTTCAACTTTGGACTTCAGTCTAAAGCCAGCGCTCTGGGGCTATACTTGGCCAGTACCTCTGGAGGCTGATGGTCCAGGGTGCTGGAGAGGTAGGTAGCTAGCCCTGAAAAGGGGGAGGCTGGAATAAGCAGTGCAGCGGTTTCCACCAAGCCTGAGCCTTCCTCCCAGCATTGCACCTCCACACGGATCTGGCACAGCTACTAGTCAAGGAGATCACACTTGGCCTGCAAGTGATCTGGTTCCCCTGTCACTGTACAACCATGTTGTCTCTCCTCTGATGATCAGCTAGCCTAGACAAATCAGGCTACCTGTGCCTTCCCAAGCATGCCCTGAGTGTTCCTGTCTCGAGTCTGTTCACACTCTTCTTGTTACTGGAATACCTTTGTACTAGTCACAGTCTGATTGGTCCTTCCAAACTCATACAAATGACAACCTTATTCAAGAAGTCACCAAGGCGGGGGCTGGGTGTGTGGAGGTGGGCGACTTGGTGTAGTAGGCTAAGCACCTGCCTGAGGCACCAGCATCTCATGTGAGTACCAGCTGCTTCACTTCCAATCCAGCTCCCTGCTCATGTGCCTGGGAAAGCATCAGAGGATGCCTCAAGTGCTTGATCCCTGCAGCCACATGGAAGATCTGACAAAAAACACCTGGCTCCTGGCTTTGGACCATCTGGGGAGTGAGCCAGCAGATGGAAGATGTTTTCTCTGTATAATTTTGCCTTTCAAAAAAATAAAATAAAATTCAATAATCTATCTAGCTACGTACTTAACTACTTAACCCCGCACTTACTTTCTATCATCTGTAACAAGTGATTTTTATAGTTTTCTTTGTGTAGGGGATATGACTGAGATCGTTACATAAGCATATAACTAAAGCAGAGAGGAGGCAATCGCCTCACTCCTTCCTATTGCTACCTGGTATGTTCGCTCTGCAAGAACTATGCAAGAACTCATGCTTCGCAGCTTTGTCCCTGGGTGTCACTTACCCTGGGTAAGTTTTTGACTCAGCAGTTAAGAAGCTGCTTGGGGGTCCCCACAGAGTAGCCTAGTGGCTAAATCCTTGCCTTGCCTTGCCTTGCCTTGCTAGGATCCCATGTGGGTGTTAGTTCCTGTCCTGACTGCTGCTCCACTTCCTATCTAGCTCCCTGCCTGTGGCCTGGGAAGGCAGTGGAGGGCAGCCCAAAGCCTTGGGACCCTGCACCCACATGGGAGACCCAGAAGAAGCTCCTGGCACCTGGCTTCAGATCAGCTCAGCGCTGGCCATTGTGGCCACTTGGGGAGTTAACAAGCGTATGAAAGATCTTTCTGTCTCTCCTTCTCTCTGTGAATCTTACTTTCCAATAAAGAATAAATAAATCTTTTTTTTTTTAAGCATTATTTAAAAGCTGCTAGGAAGGCCCACATCCCATTTTAGAGTGCCTGGGCTCCAGTCCTGGCTCTTCTTCCAATTCCAGCATCCTGGTAGCTTGCAGCCTAGAACTATGCAAGGAATGACTCAAGGATTTGGGTCCCAGCCCCCATGTGGGAGATCCAGATTGAGTTCTAGGCTGCTGGCTTCCGCCTGGCCCAACCCGAGTTCCTGTGGGGGTACAGGAAGTGCATTAGATAGTTTGTTCTAAGTAATAATGAAAACGTTTAAATCTGTTCTCAAAAAAAATTCAGCTATGAAAAACAAGTGTGAAGAGTTGGATAGCCACTTCAAAGGAGGTGTCTATGTGTATACAAGAGTAGTCTGCTCCTGGTTTTTTATGGTGATGAGAGTTGGGGAATATTACATGTGTGTACATAGATGCTCGGGCCCATATTCACATATCGTTTCATTTGCAAACCGGCACAGCTGCTTTTCTAATTTTCTTTTTTAAGCTACAGCTTTTTTTTTTCCTATTCTAAATATAATATATGGGCTGGTAGAAAATTAAAAGTAAAAAGTAAAGAAAGAAGTCATTCAGAAACTCATAATCCAGAAATAACCAGTAAACATTTTGGTGTACTTCCTGTCCATAGCTTTCCTACATAAATGTATTCTATACAATTTTGAAAGGAAATTGAGAGGAAATCTTTAAACACTTCTGTGTCCTATTTTTTGACTCAAGATATGATTAACACTCCTTTAAAATATTCTTCCAAACATAAAGGAATGTACAGTATCCAGTTAAGGATGCAGCAAGCTTTATATAACCATCCATTCATTATCAGATGCTCTTTTCGGGGGAGCTATAAATAATATCTCAATGAATTCCTTGGCATAGCTAAACATATCTCTACTTCTTGTTTAGGCTGACTCAAGCAGTGAAATTATTATTTTTAAGCTTCTTCACTAGTAACATGCTTTTAAGAACTTCCGTTTGAAAAATACTGGCAGAGGAGACTTCTGGGTTTTGGTTCTGCACATAAGGAACTTGGGAGCAGCCACTCTGTTCTAGTAAATCAGCATCCAACCAGGCAAAAGAATCAGCTCTCTCTCTCTCTCTTTTTCAAGATTGATTTATTTCCAGCTGGTGCATAGCCTAGTGGCTAAAGTCCACGCCTTGCACACACTGGGATCCCATATTGGCACCGGTTCTAATCCTGGTGATCCCTGCTTCCCATCCAGCTCCCTGCTTGTGGCCTGGGAAAGCAGTCAAGGACAGACAAAGCCTTGGGACCCTGCACCCACATGGGAGGCCTGGAGGAAGTTCCTGGCTCCTGGCTTTGGATGGGAATATCACAGGCAGAAAGGAAGAGGAAAAAAAGCTCAAAGCGTTCATGAGTGGCAATTTCCTTCAACACGGAAGGCTTGATTGAGGAGACTCAGAACACCAAGAAAGGCACATGTCCACAAAACTATAGCAAGTCAGAGAGAGAGAAACAAATCCCGCAAGAAGTCAGAACACATACCTCTCCTCTCCTTGACTTCTCAGAAGCATCGGATGCGGAAACACGTGTAATGAAATATTCAAAATGTGAAGAGTAAGACTGCTGGATCCTGAACAATTATCCTTGAAAAGCAAAGGAGAAATAGACATTCTTAGACTACCAAAATCGAGGGAATTTTATTTACACACACACACACACATTTGAAAGGCAAATAGGGAGGAAGGGGAGCATAAAAATATTTTTCATAAGCTGATTCACTCTCCCACTGGCTGCAATGGCCAGAGCTGAGCTTTTCCCAGGCCACAAGCAGGGAGCTAGATGGGAAGCAGGACTGCCAGGATTAGAATTGGTACCCATATGGGATCCTGACGTGTATATATATACACATGCATACTTCACAAAAGTGAACTAAAAAGGGATGGTGAACCTAAATGTAAAATGTAGGAGTGTAAAAACCTTGGGACTGGTGTGGTGGCTCAGGAGGTTTGTCCTCAGTCTTGCAGCACCAGCATCCCATATGGGTGTCGGTTCATATCTCAACGTTTCCACTTCCGATCTAGCACCACGATTATGGCCTGGAAAGGCAGCAGAGGGTAGTTCGAGTTTTGGGGACCCTACACCCATGTGAGAAACCAAGAAGGAGTTCCTGGTTCTTGGTTTCTGGTTCCGGGCCTCAGTTCAGCTCAGCTCCAGCTGTTGCAGCCATTTGGGGAGTGAGCCAGCAGGTGGATGGTATTTTTCTTTGCGTCTCCTTCTCGCTATAAATCTGCTTTTCAAATAAAACTTAAAAATCATATAGACTTAGCAAATGTGGAATTGAATATATGGTCCTTGATCATAAATATTAGTTGAATCAATGGAATGAATGGTTTTGCTAGAGTGCATGTGTCAGAGCTAGGCCTACTTGGTGGTTCAGTTGGAGCAGTGGACAGCATATCCAGGTGCACATGGAGGGATATGGCAGTACACTGGAGCCTGCAAGGACACCTAGTGCCATAACAGAAGACAGAGGACAAACAAATTGATCAACTACCACAGCCAAGGGTTGGCAGTGAATACTTGGGCAAATGGAGACTCTAAGGTGGACTATGCCAGCCAGTGGAGTCTGGAGAGATTTCATCATGCTTGGAGTGGCAAGATTGACAGCAATTCAGAACTGTTAGTTGAACTATCAAAATCACCTGAGCAGGACCCTTGGAGCATGCCCCACATCAGGGACCCTGGGATGACTGGGAGGCTGGGTGTGGCTTCTCTCCTAGTCTCCCCTCTTCCTCCAGATACAGGAAGGAAAAAAAGAATGTGGAAGCAGTATCACCCACTTTCCTGTAGCCCTTGACCTTTTGTGCCCTAATCAACTTTGTGAAAATCATCATTATAAAAAAAAAAAGAAAAGGAAAGGCTCCATTATAGTCAGAAGCTAAGCTCTTTAACAGAGAAACCATCAAAGGAGATTGGAGGAAGAACTAATGTTTATTCCATAGGTAATTTCACCAGGCCTGTTGTCTGAACTTCCTGTTAAGGAGAGGGCAAAATCTCACTTCTGGGGAACTCATGTCTCCATCTATCACCATCCGAAGTTCACCTTCTTTGCAGCAGACCATGCTTGGTCTCCAAAGGGGACTCACAACCCAACTTGATCTTCAGAGCTGGATAGGAAGATGTAGTAAATAATGCATAAATGTCTGACCGATCCAACTAACAGCCAGGAAAGTTGTAGATGAGCTACTAGAATAAAAGTACATTAAGAAGAATCAAGATGACGGAATAGGGTGAGGACATGTTCAAACAGAAAAACATTAGCTAGTGTGAATAGAGAGAGCACAATCCAGGAAATAGGAGAGGACAGACTGACAGCAGAGGGGCACCTGCAAAATGATGGACACAGGAAAGCAGCAGAGACAATGGTGTGGTGTGCAGTGACCCGATATGCTAACCATTCAGCAAGTGGTGATCTGAACTCTACCAGAGGCTGCAACTCCACCAGGGACTGGGTAGAAACGGACGTTCACCAGGGACTCAAAAGGTGAACCCAGACAAAGAACTGCCTTTCCTGCTGGTTTGTTTGATTTGATCAGGAGCAGAGACAGAGCAGCAGATCCCAAACAGGTGGTGTGGGAACAGGGTGGATTTCATAGCCCAAACTCCCACTACAGCTGAATCAGGTGCCATCTTGTATAGGAATGCAATGTATGGGACAGAGCTGCACATGCACTGAGCTGGGAGCAAACTCATTTTGGGCTCAGTGAATTGCAACCACATGGCATCCTTCAGGTTCCACCCAAAATAGGTCCTGGTAGCCCCCAGACCTAATGGCCAGCAGATGAAGAACTCCACGTGTCTCATATCAGGCACCATTTTGTACAGTGTGGCAAATATTTGGACATAGCAGGGACAATAGTGAACTGCGCATGAGCTATCATCCTGGGAACTGTGCAAACTAGAGCTGGGAGAAACGTACAGACAACAGTGCAACAATAGCATGGGATCACAGGAGGTGGAGTGCTGCCAGGAGCTGGGCTGCTGAGACCATGGTAGAAGTCTAACATAAGAACTCAGACCTGGAACTCACTGTGACTGCAAACAAAGAACCATGTACCAACCACAAGAAGTAAAATCGAATTGCAGACCTGTGGGTGACACAGCTTGGAAACCTGCCCTACGGAGAAGAATCTGATAACCAGAAGTACAACGACGAAGGGCAAAAGAAGAGACAAAGGCACAATAAATATTACTGAAGTCTCCCATGCAAAGAAGCAAAAGCCTTTGCCAACCTCAGCGTTAACTAAGGAAGACATCTAGAAAATGGGAGATATAGAATTCAAAACACTTGTTGTAAAGCTTCTTATCAACAATGAGAAGCACGTAATACAAGAGTTCAAGGAATTTAAGAAATATGTCACATAGCAAATGAATCAAGTGAAAGCTAATACATTAGAAGTTAAGAATACAGTGGAGCAGGGCCCGGCGCGGTGGCGCAAGTGGTTAAGTCCTCGCCTTGCACGCCCGGGATCCCATATGGGCGCCGGTTCTAATCCCGGCAGCCCCGCTTCCCTTCCAGCTCCCTGCCTGTGGCCTGGGAAGGCAGTTGAGGACGGCCCAAAGCTTTGGGACCCTGCACCCGCGTGGGAGACCAGGAAGAGGCTCCTGGCTTCGGATCGGCATAGTATCGACCCGTTGCGGCTCACTTGGGGAGTGAATCATCGGATGGAAGATCTTCCTCTCTGTATCTCCTCTCTGTATATCCGCCTTTCCAATGAAAAAATAATAAAAATAAATCTTTAAAAAAAAAAAAAGAATACAGTGGAGCAAATTAAAAGTACAGTGGAGAGTCTCCAAAATAGAATGAAGGAAGCAGAAGAAAGAATATCAGAATTGGAAGGTATTTCCTGTCACCAGGTAGAAACAATCAAAAAATTGGAAGCAGAGCTGGGTCAAACTAAAAGAAACATTCAAGAATTGAAAGACACTATTAAAAGGCCAAATATAAGACTTTTTGGGACTCCCCAAAGTACAGAAAGAGAAACTGGGTTTAAAACGTATTTAATGAAATAATAAAAGACAATTTCCCTAATCTAGACAAAGCATTGGGAAACAACATCCAGGAGGGGCACAGAACTCCCAAAAGGGTTGGCCAAAAGCAATCTTCAGCACAACACATGATAATCAAGCTATCTTCAATCAAACATAAGGACAAGATCCTTAAATGTGCACGTGGAAAAAAAAATCAATTGACATATAGAAGAATGCCAATTAAGCTCACAGGAGACCTCTCGCACGAAACTCTACAGGCCAGAAGAGAATGGAGCAACATATTCCAGATTCTAAAAGAAAAAAATTGTTGATCTAGAATAATGTACCTAAAGTTTTCCTTTGTCTTTGAAAATGAAATAAAACTCTTCCACAGTAAAGAAAAGTTAAAAGAATCTGCCTCTTCCAAACCTGCCCTACAAATGATTCTTAAAGATGTTCTCTTGACAGAGAAATAGCATCCATTAAAATCAAAGGCAAATGTGAAGAACATCCCAGTAAAATAACAACAGAAGACTAAGTCAATGAACAACACATTGCTAAATAACAGGACCAAATTACCACCTATTCATATTAACCCTGAATGTAAATGTCTTAAACTCATCAATCAAATGTCCTAGATTAGCAGACTTGATTAAGAATACAAAATTCATCCATTTGTTGCCTACAGGAGATACATACATGTCACCAACACAGGTCAGCGGAAAGTATATCTCATGGACTTTGATGTTTTTAGCTTCATTTCTTTAAAACATGTTTTTTTTTTCTCATTAAATTCTTTAATGACTCATAGATCATACAGTAGCATCCTTTTCTTCATGAAAGTTCTTGATTTCCTTTTTCATTTTTTCAGTGACAAATTAGTCATCCAGTGGCATGTTATTTAACTTCATGGTGTTGTAAGTTTCTATTTTTCCTTCCTGTTGTTGGTTTTGTTTTGTGGCTTTTCACTTGGCGGGACTTATAGTGACTGTGTAGTGGAGACTGACATGTCCAGATGTGAGGACAGAGTGCAGTATGCATCTCTACTTCCATAGTGAACCTGTTGGAAGTGTCTTGACAATGGGATGTTGGACTCTCTGCCATTGTCCATGTCCGCAATGATGGACATATGACTGTCTCTGAGGGACTATGCTGTTGTATTGATATGGGAGAATTCATGGGGCGGTTAAGGGAAGGAGTAGGGAAAATCCCAATGCCTATGAAAGTGGATCATAAAATGATAACAATATGATACTACTAATAATAAAAAAGTAAATTTAAAAAGGATAAAAAATAGAGTACATTGAGAGGGATAATTACTCTAGTGAAGAAGAAAAGTAGGGGGAGGAGAAAGAAGAGGAAGTGCTTCTGTCACTTGCTAAAGATAATGGTTTTTATCAGGCCTAACCAGGAACTTCCTTTTCTTTTCTTCCCACCTGACCTCCTTCCTCCTGAGCCTTTCCTCCAACAGCAATTTAGGATTCCCAAGTTACAAGCTTGTAATTCCGGATTTGTGGACCTGTCAGCACAGAGGCACAAATGCTACCAAGGAGCCCCTGGAGCAAAATCTAAAAGAAGAAAACAGAAAATACTCACCAAGTCAGATTGGCATCCTAACCCAGTCCCAGAGTGGCTGAGAGACCTCATGTCGATTACAGATCCCTTCTCATCCATCATGTCCTTGGCTCATGTGTTCAACGAATACTCTGCAAGAATTTCCTGGGTATAAAGCATGGCTTGGTATGCTCTGTGTGTGGCTCCACCAATGAGTAAGGCAGCTTTGTTCCATTGAGTGTGTGTTCTAGTGAGAGAAACAAGAAATAGAAAAGAAGTACGCAAACTAATTTTAGATGATGAGCAGTGTTACGGAAAGAATAAAACAAATGATGAGAGTGACCATTTGACCTAACAGCCAAGACATGGTGAAGGCCCTAGTCAAGACTCTCATGTCCCACACTGGAGTCAAAGGGTTTGATACCAGACTCTGGTTCTTGGCTGCAGCTTCCTGCAAAGACAGACCCTGGAAAGCAACAGGGACGGCTCAGATGATGGAGTTCCTGGCGTCATGTAGAAGACCCAGATTACGCACTCAGTGCCAAGCTCCACCCTCTGCCAAACTAGAGCACTTTGATAGTGGTTCAGCAAGGGGAACTTAATCTCTCTCTCTTTCCTCTCATATTAAAAAAAAAAAAACTAATAAAATCACAAAGACAGCTCTTGTAGAGATTGAGGCAGTAACATTAGAGTGGAGTGGAAGCCTGAACATCCTAGGAGCCAGCCAATGAATACGCCAGGAAAAGAATATTTCAGGCAGAAAGACTGGGGGCCGCACTTGGGGCTGGCAGACAATTGAGGAAAATGGTGCCAGGTGTGCAGTTCCATGGGCTAATGATGTGACTATACCAAAATACTCTCTCTCTCTCTCTCTCTCTCTCTTTTAGTCTTTCTCTCCCATTCTCCCTGATCTTCTTTTATCTAAAGTATCTTGAGGGTATCTCAGAATGCTCATGAGAATGGGACTAAAAGTCCTTTGGGAGGCCCTCTGCGGTAACCTAGTGGCTGAATCCTCAACTTGCATCCACTAGCATCCCAAACGGGCAGTGCTTTGTGTCCTGGCTGCTCCCCTTCCCATCCATCTTCCCATCTGCTTGTGACCTGGGAAAGCAATCAAGGATGGCCCAAAGCCTTGGGACCCTGTACCCGTATGGGAGACCTGGAAGAGGCTTCTGGCTCCTGGCTTCGGATCAGCTCAGCTCTGGCCATTGCGGCCACTTGGGCAGTGAACCAGTGAAAGGGAGATCTTTCTTTCTGTCTCTCCTTCTCTCTGTATATCTGCCTTTCCAATAAAAATAAATTTTTTTAAAAAAGATTTATCTTTTTATTGGAAAGGCAGATCAGCCTTTGATGGACACAACACAGCGGTGCACCAGGAGGGACTGAAAACAATATCTCTCGCATGTTTTCAAGCAAGGGAAGAGCCAGACAGGGAAGTGGGTAGGAAGGGGGACGAGGCCAAAAACTAGAAAGCCTTTGGAGAAGAGGGGAGTGTGAGTAAGAAAGAGGGATGGGAGGGAGACATGAAGCGATCAAAATGAGAACCCTTTGTTCACCAAGTTTCACCTCTGCTCCCGACAGCCCCATCTCCCTCTCCCGGGGATAACTCACTGGAAGGTTGATGGTTTCTCTTTCTGATTCCATCTGGCTGCCCTGGGTCCCGTGGCTGACTGTAGGCTGTGTGGATGCCTCCATTTCATCTTCTGTGTGTCTGCTGCAGGCTTCAGGGGGGAGTGAGCACACAGGGGTTGGCACAGACCTGCTGTTCACCCTCAGCTGTGCCGGATCCCAAGGCTCTGGGCCATCCTCGACTGCCTTCCCAGGCCGCAAACAGGGAGTTGGATCGGAAGTGGAGCAGATAGCGAAGCGGTGCCCATATGGGATGCTGGAACTGGCAAGTTGAGTATTTAGTCATTGAGCCATTGCATCACTTCCTCCAACCCCCCCCCCCCCATAATTTTACTTCCCATAACCCTCAATGTCTAGGGACACAAAGAAAAGTGGGCCTGGCCATCTGCTCTTCTGTTTGAAGTTTATGTATCAGAAAGAAGGACAGAGAGACAGACATTGACACACAGAGATCTACCATCTGCTGGTTCACTCCCCAGGTTTTCCCCAGTAGCCAGGCCTGAGCCAGGTGGAAGCCAGAAGTGAGGAACTCCATTCAGGTCTCCCACGTGGGTGTGGAAGCCCACGTACTTGCATCATCACCTGCGACTTCCAGGGTTCAATCAGCCGGAAGCTGGATCAGAAGTAGAGCATGGGGCCCGGTGCGATAGCCTAGTGGCTGAAGTCTCTGCCTTGAACGCACTGGGATCCCTTATGGGCGCTAGTTCTGATCCCGGCAGCCCTGTTTCCCATCCAGCTCCCTGCATATAGCCTGGGAAAGCAGTCGAGGACAGTCCGAAGCCTTGGGACTCTGCACCCATTGGGATACCCGGAAGAGGATCTGGGCTCCTGGCTTCAGATCGGCACAGCACCGACCGTTGCAGCTGCTTGGAGAGTGAGCCATCGGATGGAAGATCTTCCTCTCTGTCTCTCCTCTCTGTATATATCTGACTTTGCAATAAAAACAAATAAATCTTAAAAAAAAGAAGAAGTGAAGCAGGGACTTGAATTCAAGCACACTGACATGGGAGGTATGCATCCCAAGCTGTGCCCTCACCACTGAGCCACAATGCCCATGCTTTTCTTTCTCTTCTTGTTTTGTCGGTATGACTTGTATTTGGCACTCAATAATAATGATTCAAAGGGGAAATAAAGAAATCTAGAACATCCTCCTGTTCATCAAAACTCCCCTGTCAAACTCATTGTCTTCGTGGGAAACCTTTTCTTCGGGATGTCAGACAAAATAGTGATTGTTCCTGTCCTTTTGCCGTGGTGACAACCCCAATGATCTCTTCAATAATGGCTACGTGTGGCCGTGGAGAGGGAAACCAGAAGAAGGCAAATGCAAAAGAGAAAGGCACCTGAATAATTTCCCTATGAATAAACACGCGGCTTTGAAAAGGAAACATCTGTCATTGGTTTTGATAAGTGCTGGGGGTTTGGCAAGAGTTTCAGGACCAGGGGGCCTTCCCTGGCCTCATGGGAATCCCTTGGAAACAAACAGCAAGCAGGGTAGGAAAAGTGGTTTATCTACGCCGTCACACTGTGCCTCTGGACCAGAGGTCAGCTAACCTTGCTCTAAGATGTCAGAGGGCAAATATTTTGTAGCCTTCGCAGGTCATATGGTTTCTGTCGCAATTACTCAACTCTAGTTTCATCAAATCACGCCCCCCCCCCAGACGATACGTAAACATGTGAGTGTGGCGGCGTTCCAACCAAGTTCATTTACAAAAGCTGTGGTCTGCTGACCCTGTGCTGGAATTGAAACAGAAAAAAAAAAAAATCATTTGAGTCTAATTTCCACTTCAACGGGAGCTGCTAAGCTGTGACCGCAGGGATATCATGTTAAACACTATGGGGCTGTAAAATGTTAAGAAGTGGAGCTCTAAGCGCCCACCTGGGGGAGGTGTAGCCTACAGCGGTAAGCCTGCTGCTGAGGACACCCACAACCCTTACCAGGGTGCCTGGTTTGAGTCCCAGCTCCTCCACTTCCAATCCAGCTTCCTGCTGGTACACATTCCAGGAGATGGAGGTGAGGTCTCTGTGTGAGACCTGGACTGACAGGCTGGCTCCCGGCTTCCGCCTGGCCCGAAACAGCCTGTTGTGGATGTTTGGGGACTAACCAGAGATGAGATGCTTAATCTCTCTCTCCTCTCTCTGCCCGCCAAATGAATAAAATAAATGCTAAAGTAATTTTGAAAACTCAAGTGCTCCTGACATTTGCCTGTGGCGCTGAAGTGGGACCTACATTACAGGCTGTTCTGTCGATGGTAAAGTTTCTACTTCTCTTTATTGCGCAGGTGATTTTGGTGGTGTGAAGCCTAGGGGACATTTTTAGGGGAACTGTCTCTTGGGAAGTGTGCACACATGTGTGCGCGCACACACACACACACATATGTCAAGATTGAACTTATAGATGAGTACACACTCAGAATGGCCCAGAAATGAGTCCGTTGAGTCCATTTTTGTGGAACATGGGGAGCTCACACTGAAGCCATAGGAATCCTGCTAGGTAGAAGGAGCCAGGAGTCATAGGGGCCTGAATTAAGCAGGTGCCTTAATTCTGAAGCGTCGCTGAAGCCCTAGGCTGGGAAGCCAGGTAACACGGCTTCTTCTCTGTGCCAAGACACTGTGTGTTCTTTGGCAACTCATTGAACTTCTCTGAGCCTTTGTCTTTTTCTATTATGTATTCATTTTTCTTGTTATCTATTTGATGGCAGAGAGACAGAGATGGATATGCCTGGACGAGAAGCTAGGACTGGGAGCCAAGCCAGGACTAGAACTCAGGCAGTGGGATGCGGTGCTCCAAGGGGTGCTTAAAGGGACATCTCGGACATTGCGCCAAAAGCCTGCCCATTCGGTGGGTTTTATTCTGCTTGGTGAAAAGTGACGCTGTCTGAACTGTTGATTCCTGAAGCGCCAGCTCTCACATGGTGCTGGGCTGTTTGCATCAAATACTCCCTGTGACAGTTCAGCACTCCAGTTCCCCAGCTGCCTTGTAGGGTGTCAAAGTCAAGGGTTAGAACTGTGATCTGCTTTTTCCTTATTTTTTTCCCATTGAAATAGAGGAAGAATCCAGGATTTTATTTTTGAATTCTACTAATAAACCCTTTCCTAATGTACCATTTATTTCATTAGATTTCGGCAGATAGTTAACCTTCTCTTGTCTCTGGTGGTGGAGTCTGGCGGGCAGGGCTGAAGGCACACATCACACAAGACCCGGAAATGGGGATGAAGAAGGCCAACTTTGGGACACATTTCATGAATTCACTCATTTATGCTTCATCTCGGCCACTTGGAATTTCACTGCTCAAGGCATCCTGGAGCCAAGATGGAGGACAAAGAGATTCCCTCTGGGCGTGTATGGAAGGATGCAGCAGCAGCACAGGGACTGACCCAGAGTGGCCGCATGGATGATTCAGAATCGGACTGGGGGAGAAGAAAGACACCTGGTGACCAGTGGTTAAGATATCAGGATTTCAAGGCCAGGTACAGTGGCTCAACAGGCTAACCTTCCACTTTGTAGTACCAGCATGCCTTATGGGTGCTAGTTCCTGTCCCAGTTGCTCCCACTTCTAATCTAGCTCCACCCTTATGGCCTGGGAAAGCAGTGGAAGGTGGCCCATATCCTTGGCCACT